TGGAACTTCGGAGGGATTTCAAAACAAGCGAAATCCCGTTCTAGTCCCTCACAAATTTGAGGGACAACTTTGGAACAAACTAGGGACAGAATGGGACCTTCGTTTTCTATTAGCCCCCCCCCCCCCAAGAGGCATCTATTGCCTCAAACCGCGAGCGAAGCTAACGACAAATTTTTTTTCGATTTCACAAGCCAAAAAGTGCGGTTTTAAGAGGTATTGCGGTATTGCGCTATGCTAGTCAGCCCTTGAGGCACTGTTCCCAAATCTCGTAAGGTATCGTCAGCCAGCGTGCTTCTAGCCACCAACCTGCAGGCCCCAAATATGGTCGTCTTTCGATCATTCGATTTGGTTTTAGGCGAGGGGGTTTTCACTCGAGATTTCCGTGCACACAGTATTTCGTAATACGTGTATTTCGTCGGTATTTCTCAGGAAAAGTTCGTTGTTTTGGAGCATATTTAGGCGTATTTCGGTGTATTTCACGTGAAATACTTGTGAAATACCTCATTTGGTGTACACGGTATTTCAGAAGTGAAAACCCCCTCGGTTTTAGGAGCATTTCTAGACTGACTGATCGCAGAAGAACGCGAGCGAAGCGAGCGAGAATTTTTTGGTGAATTTTATGATAGAAAGTTCGACTTTATAAGGATTTGCGCTTCATTAATATGTGAAGATCATGGGCGAAATTTAGGGAGGGCGCAGCTACGCACATAACAGTACATTGTCAGTCAGTGCCCGCCGCAAAATAATTTGTTCACTTTATGTGTGCGTTCTGCTCGCGTCGCGAAAAGGGGGACTTCAGTACGCTTTCAGGTCGCTCGCGGTTCGTCGGTAATAATCTTCTGGCCCGTAGAGCCCCGAGGCTGGCCGAGGAGGGACCCCGGTATCGGACACGGTCCTCTAACCGGTGAACTCGTGGTCTAGTGGTCAAGGCGACGGGTTCCTAACCCGGATGACCAAGGTTCGAGTCCCAGCAAAGGTAAAGTACTTTCCAATTAAATGTCATTAAATAAAATTACTACGGTGAAGTACAGGAAGAGGGAGGGGACCAGGGAAAGGTAACGATCGATAAAAACCACAAAGAAAATATTTTCCTTTTTGGCTATCGGCTGCACCCCCAGCTGCACCCCGGGCTGCATCATATTGCCCCCCCCCCCCCCTAGATTCCTACATCAAATGTGCATCTAGAGCGTACTGAAAACGAACATTTGGCGTACTGCAAGCGAACACTCGGCGCACTGGCAGCGTACCACAGGAAAACGAACTATGTTCGCTCTGGGTTCGTCAAAGCGCGCGAAATGACACATCCGCGCACCTTTTGTGAACTTGGTCGAATCACTCGCGAACTCGTTGAGAGGGTCGCAACTAGTACGTTTTAGGTTCGGACACACTCCAACTAACATTCGTTCGTGTCATGATAAGTTTTGAAGCCCTGACATTATGACCATGCCTTTTGGCCCACCCGAAATGAACATATTCTTATTTGTTTTCTGGACAGCTCCTTTTCTTTGTGCAGGCGGAACTTCAACGCGCTGATCAATCCATACGTCGGAACGTGATATACTTTTGTACGTTTTATGCGCTCATGCTGTGTTCGGTGTTACCGGAGTCAATCATTACCGGCTCATCGTTCGCACCCATGTGGCCACAGCTTCCAGGGGCGCTCGGAGACTGGTCATCAGCTGTGTTCTTATGCAGTTCCATGATCACTGGTCCGGGGTTATACTTTGTGATGTAAGCATGGGTTGAAACAATCTAAAAATACCGTTTTATCCTAGAAGCTTTAAATAATATAAATAACATTGACGTCTAAATATTGAATTGGGGCACTCAAAAGTAAACTCGGGAGTATTTTACGCCAATATTTGGTGTCAGTCATACTCCGAAGCAGAAAATAACACCAATGTATACGGGCGGCGTTAAACGCCTTGATGACGAATATTGGCGTAAAATACTACCGAGTTTACTTTTGAGTGCCCCGATTCAATATTATGTGCTTACCTTTCCAAATCCTTCGAAAACAACTAATTTGTCAAGCAGGTGCCACCAGCCTAGGCTCCGACCATGGTCAACATAACCCCCAAAGGCACCACCTTTGTTATTATTGTGAAATCGTATTTCAGCGGTCGGTAAGGTACCAATATATCCTTAAAACTCATCTTATGTCATTCTGTGCCGATATCAATCGA